CTGTCTGCTCCGTGTGTGTTTGTGTGTTCTGCGGGTGGTGCGGCTTTGTAGTTTACTGAAGTCGTTGACACCCAAGTGGATTCGTGTTTAGGGCGCTCTGGATTGCGGGGCGTGCAGTCGTTTTTTGATGCGGTTAGAGGCCTAATGGCCTGGAAAATACGGTACTCACAGAACAGTAGTCTTCATCAGTGGGCAGGTGAAGAGGCTGGGCACGCGGCATGTACGTGTCCACGAGCTTGTTCAAAATGGCGGGTTACATCTGACTCGTTCAGGATTCAGGAGCAGCTCACACACGTCGGAACGAGACACTGACATCCACAGCAGGGTCCAAAGAGAGCGACCTTGGTCCGCTGTGCATTACAAAGTCTCTCTTTAGCATATTTATCAAATAAAATGTCTATACTTTGTATACAGCATTTACTACCAGGTTAGCTTTAGTGTTAGCATGCTAAGTCGCTAACTCACGATTAGCATTACACATTATTTGTACAAAACGAGCTGTTTTGATACACAAAATAAACACACTGGACACTCACGTGACATCAGGTAACAACAGTCCCACACAAAACCTGTAGACTCTAAATCCACGGCTCATTTTGTGACTATTTTACCAAACGTTACCGGCCACTTTCCTTCACTGACAGGACAACATGTTTTTACATGTGTGATTATTGGAACACACCCATTCCTCACTGATTGGATATCACTAATGCATCCTCCAAATAAACTCCAAGAAAACAAAAGATTGACATACAATAGCATTAGGTAATGCAGATACAATCATGGATCTATTAAAATGACAGGACAGGGTGTTGTTGCTTGTAGCTGTCTCCAGTTGTCATAGTGACTCTCACTGGTTCTACAGCGAAAATAATCCCATGGCCTGACACAAGATTTTTCTCATAGAGCACAATGTAATCACAAACTGCTCGTGTTCAGCTGACAGGCACCTACAACTTTCAAAAATGTCAGATTTTGTGGTGATTTTTACCTATTTTTAGATCATACAATTTTCTCAGCTCAAAATACTTCAGTTGTCTTAAAAAAGGTTTTAGAATTGTTCGCTCCGGCTCCGCTCTGCTCCTCTCGCTCTGATTGGTCAAAGCGATCACGTGATACACGAGCCCGTGCTCCGTGCATGTGCCTGCGGTAGAGAAAAGACATTACTGCGCATGCTCGATCGGCCCACAACCACTGAAAGAACCTCACCGGGCTAAAGGCGAATCTGGGATCATGGGATCGATATTTTAATAGATCCATGAGCTCGGCCCATTGACTTGAATGGGTTAAAAGCAGTTAAAACTTACAATATCTATAAAAAGTATAGTATGGCTTCATTTAATTTATGACATTATTTATTTATTTTTATTATTATTATTATTTTTGTTGTATAGTTTTGGTTTCATTCCTTCTGCTCCCCTGTATGATAATTTGCAAACCACCCCCATACTGTAATTAAAAAATAAAAAATAAAAAAAGACGTATGTATGTATGTTTATGTATGTTTATGTGTATGAATGTACATGTCTATTTTCTACCCCTCTCTCCTGCCATAACTGTGAACTGGACTTTGCATTGATGCAACAACAATCCAATCTGCACTTTATACTGTTTATACATTTGGTGTTTTTATCTTGTTGTTATAGTTTTGTAATAATAATTAAAAAAAAAATTAAAAAAAACTTGAATGGGCGGCCATTTTGAAACCCCGGGGCTTGGATACAATGTGCTATGCTCATGTTCAGTTTTAACAAACTTGGTTCATAACAAACTGAACTTTATCAAATAAAATTGACGAAACCCTTTGCTTGGCTTACAACATACTGAACTATTTATAAGAGATGTTGTTAACAGACTAATCAAATATATTTTTGTCATTTTGAGATGTTTGTAACTTATTAGTGTCATATTTATTGCTATTTATTAAGATGAAAATATGAATATTTTAGTCAGTTCAGTCTAAAGTGACATTTTTAGACTGGGTTACACATACATTCAGACATAGATAAAACGAGACTACTTCTGTATCACAATCATGACTCAGGGTAGACATTCTGACGTCCTGGACCTCTGCTTCAGGAGATTTTCTCTAACTGGACCTCGTCAAATTTTAGTTGAATATTCCTGAACTACACTGGAAACTGGTGTGCAAAATAATAATTAAAAAAAGAACAAATACTGTTCTAGTTTACTTCTTGTTTAGTCCTGGTTTAGTCCTAGTTTAATCCTGGTTTAGTCCTAGTTTAGTTCTGGTTTAGTCCTGGTTTATTTCTAGTTTAGTCCTGGTTTAGACCAGGCTTAGACCTGGTTTAGAGCTGGTTTAGATCTGGTTTAGACCTGGTTTAGTTGTGATTCAGACCTGATTTAGTCCTAGTTTAGTCCTGGTTTAATCCTACTTTAGTCCTAGTTTAGTCCTAGTTCAGATCTGGTTTTGACCTGGTTTAGTTCTAGTTTAGACCTAGTTCAAACCTGGTTCAGACCTATATATACTGTATATCCATACTTAAGACAACCGAATTGAGCAACTCCATTATAACTTTGGTAAATCAATTGATAATATAGACTTCCTGCAAATAATTTCTGGACAGAATCTTCACATTAGAACTATAGTTATTGTGTTTACTAATGATTTTAGTTGTAAAAAGGCTCAGTTAAATTATGCAGTGAAATCTAACTCCGTCTAGTTTAAATTTATAGTCCATATTATAGTATTATAGTTGTAAATGTGCAGCCACAGACACACCCCACACAGAGGCAGAGCACATGAGGCTAGCCCAGGGGTGGGCAAACTACGGCCCGGGGGCCGTATGCGGCCCTTTAAACCTTTTAATCCGGCCCACCGAACTGGAATAAATTACAATAATAAACCTTGTTGATGTTTTATTTGTCATGCATTTCCAGCGTTTCCCAGTAGATGGCGCACTATATATACATTGAGTTGTGGCGTATTATGTTTGCCGCAATGCTTTATGGGAAAGTGTTCTTACAGGAGTCATTCGGACCATGAGTAAAGTAGTTGGTGCTTATGACTGCACTGCATCCATTTTGAGCTGGTAAATATCAATCAAGGAAACCAATGGACTCTGAGTTGTAATTATTAATGTGTACAATATTTTGGAGACAGGTTTTATCACACTCACAGGTGTGTATCTGTGGTTGTTTGGTGTGAGCTTTGTTTTTGAGCTGTTACCAGTCATATTTGAAAACGGTGAACTCACGATACACATTCACTCGTGTTGTGCAGTGGAACACGTCTCAACAGTTTCATGTGTTCTGAATCTTTCACAGCAGTGATGAAACGTAGTGCGTCTGAAGTCCTGGATAAATGTGAATAAGAATGTAATGAATCTGAGCTCTTAACACGTTATGTCCTGTCTTCTGTCCGGCCCTTCAGTCAAACTTTAGGACCCTATGTGGCCCGCGAGCCAGAAAGTTTGCCCACCCCTGGGCTAGCCTCACCTCAGCTCTGGGCAAATGCTATTTAATGTCAGATTAACTCACTAAACATGCTTGTTCATTCACAAAATTATTTGTTTTGATGATAAGAAGACAAAGCACTTCATATAGTTCATACATAGGGCCAGATCTTGCCCCCAATCTGTGACTGCTGTGGCATTTAAAAGCACTGCCAATGTGGGTAATATCTGCAGTCTTTGCGTCATTATCAGGCAGCAAAGAGAGGAGTGGGGAAAAATGATATATGGTACAATAAAACAGCCCTGGAGCCCAACAGTTCAAGTACGTACCAGTAAAGGCACCAGGAATATAGAATTTTGAATGAGTCCTGACAGAACTGGGTGGATTTGTGTTCCAAATACTTGCGCACACATCAACCATTTTAGTTTTCTCTGTGTTTCTCATTTCGTTTTCGTCCCATTATGCAGCAGACCAGTGTCTAACTCATGTTCCCCACAGCAGACCTGCTGAGCGCTGCTCTCTCCCTGGTCGCACCCGCTGCCGTCTGTCCTCATTCTGCTCCCGAGTTTCCACTGCTGCTGCTGCTGACTGCTCACATTCTAGTCTCATTCGTGTCTGTTACATTTGGTCCCACACAGGTGGATGTCTCGCCGATTATAGAATACGTTTATTGTCATATAAATGTTTCTGCTGTTACCGCTTTGTGCACAGACATGGATTAAACCATTAACACATGGGGAGGGTGACTGCACAACCTGCATTTGCACCTGATGTGCACCATGAGCTCAGAGCTGGATGTGCAGGGGTCTGTACAGAGCAGTGCTCATGTCACTATACGTCTACTGAGCCGTTGTACAAAGCTTTACTAAACGCTGCAACCAAGACAGCAGCAAGTACAAGACATGTGTCTGTTCTGCTGTCACAGCCCTGAGCTCAATGAATGCACGCACTGATCTTTGTCAGAGTCCGGCCGCTTCATGGCTCTGTGCAGTTTACTACAGTTCTTAAGGTTGCCTCCCTACTGACGACTAACTTGATAAACTAACCAAAGAGGCACAATAGGAATAATTTGGTCCCAAAATTAAATGGAGCTGATGACAGAAAGGGTACGAGGATGTGAGAAAATCGGACATCGCAGCATTAGGACCGCAGACAGGGTAAGAAAACACACTTTAGGACAGAACTGTAAACAACCTCATGTGAACCTCATGTGGCCATACTGTCCTCAGAGCTTTCTCCTCTTCTGCTTCTTCCAATCATTCACTTCAGACACTATTGTAGTCACAGCTGCATCGGGACAGCCAGCTGTGGCCAACAGGGTGAGGTCGAAAACAGTCTGATCCTGGTGTATGCTTCGGTTGTTCCACCAGGCCTCTGTAATCTGCCACTTATACAGCATGCCATATCGACATTGTGAAACACACAAATACCCTTAAATCACTGGAATAAAAAAAGTTTGCTCTTAAAGGTCAGTGTTTGCTTAAGTGTTTGTAACCTTTGATGGTGGTCAAAGTCCACTGCAAACACGGCCTATAAAACTCCTCTCACAGTTTGGATCATGATTCTGCCTTTGAGATGAAGACCATGCAGTCGTCCATCTTCTCCCTGCTGCTTCTGGGTGTGTATCTGGGTTTGGATGCTATGCCTGGGCTCAGTGAAAGCGCACTGGTGCGGGGGACCTGCCCCATGTCCTGGTTCATCTTCAACGGTCGCTGTTACAAGTATGTGGCCACTCATTCCACATGGGCTGATGCAGAGATCAACTGTGTGTCTCAGGGCGCCAACCTGGTGTCCATCTACAGTCTGGAAGAAGACAACTTTGTGAGGAGTTTGATCCAGAATTTTGATCGCACTGTGGGACCAGCTTGGATTGGACTCAGTGACCACCACAAAGATGGAGCGTGGATGTGGTCTGATGGTTGTCCAGTGGTGTATATGAACTGGAATAAAGGAGAACCAAACAATTATGGAGGAAATGAAGCCTGTGGGGAAATCGGTTGGGATAATGGAAAAAATTGGAATGATATGGTTTGCTCACGTACCTTTCCCTCTGTCTGTGCCACACGTAAACCTTATTGTTAGAAATGATGTCACAGCCACAAACCAACACCTGGACATGGACTTTATCTTCTGATTTGATGATAAGGTTCTACATTTTGAATAAGTTTTGTTTTGTGGGATACAAAACTGATTCTAATGTATGTAAACTGTAAGAGCTAAACACTGATCAAACAATGACTCTGATTACAAAACAAAATGTTAAATTGAATCTTAAACATTTATATGCAGGTTATTTTATATTTTTTGTGTAGACAGTTTATAGTTTTGTCATTGACTTGATCTGTGAATAAAAAAACTGGAGTCTGCTGCCACTTCGTCTTGTTTCACTGTAAAGTGTAATGTTCATCTGATACAATACGTATAATAAATGTGCAGTGGATTCAGCTGCTGGTTTGTTTTTCTGTGTGTGACTGCGTCACTATTGCAACAACATCATTATTTCCAATTTATTCTGATGACATCACTTCAAATTATGTCCAACAACACCACTCCATATTTGGAGAACACATGAGTGATTTTGATCAGATTCATGGTGTCGTCTGTAAGGATCCATATTTTAAGTGACTTTATTTTTGCAGTCTTCAGTAGACAGATGTTTCACAGTGGTTGTCCTTTAACACTTGGCCAAGATGACTCCGATTTAACAGTAACAAATAGTTTTACAGTGTAATATTATAAAGTCCACTGACAAAACCATTTAGAAACCAAGTTTGAGTCTTTGACGGGCATTCTGATTCAGGTAAAGCAGCAGTGGACACACCAGTACCACCTTGGCCTCCCTCCACACTAATCCCAGAATATTTTAATGTATAAATTTACCATCACTAATACTTTAACAAACAAATGTACGGCGATCATGTGCAGTGACCAGGGAGGAGTCGTCCGTCCACACGCCTCTGTACAGAAATACAGCTCCACAACAAACACTGCACGGCTCACGTCACACTGTTTTCTGATCTGTGTTATAATGTTTCCTCATCAAAAACAAACCTGGAGCTGTGCACGACCAGAAAACTAATAAACAAACTTCATACTGAAGCATAAACTGTGTACAGAAGTGGACTAAGCGAGTGTGACGTCGACTACAGCGTTCAGCTCCAGTCTAATGAAGCTCACGATGCTCACGGTTACACGAGCAAATCTGGAGCCAGACTTTATGTTATGAACAGGGTTTCTTTGATGGACAAAATAGCGGAAAAAACAAAACAAAAACAGGATCATGTAGAGCAGGTTAATACAAACATTTTAAGACCAAATGACGAGGTTCACAGCAGCAGGTACAGAAAGAAGAGCCACAATATTATAATGTAAGTCAATGGGAGCCAGAATCAGAAGGAGCCAGAAGAGCCACATGTGAACTTCCTATTTGGAAAGTGGCGACGAGTGCGTTAACTATGTCCATTTATAAGAGAGGAGAAAAATTACTTCTTTCACTTTCCTCTCAAACCAATTCTTTTCTCTGGTTAAAATCTGTACCTCGCTGTCCTCAAACGAGCGACCTGTGGTTTTTAAGTGGAGATGTACAACAGACTCAGGTCCTGTGCTGCTCTCTCGTCTGTGTTAGTTCATCTTTTTGTGAAGTGTCTGTTTAGTTTCTCCAGTGTAGCGTTCACTGCAGTCTTCACTGCACTGAGTGCAGTAGACAACATTGGTTTGTTTGCAGTGTTGGGAGTAACGCGTTATAAAAGTAACGAATTACAGTAATGCATTACTTTTTGCTGTAACGCAGTAATGTAAGGCATTATGGGGAAAAAATTGTAATATTTTACTCGGTACAAATGTGAGTAACGCGTGTTACAATGTTTTTTTAACCTGGATTGAAGTGGTGGGTTTTTCTTCATACAAATTCGCTAAAATCACCTCGATATCAGCAGCGGTGAAACGCCGGAGATGCTCCTCGTAGACCTTCAGGTGACCGCGGGCGAAAGGACCGACACAGAACTCCACGCTGTTTAGACCTGGTTTACACTCGTCCCTCCCTCTATCATAGTTCACTTTTCGTGGTCTCACTGTTTCGCAGATTTTTATTTTTTTTTGTGCAATTTTGCCTTTTGTTTTTAGTGTATGAACATGTATTGCTTTCCTCCCGCTGTGTCCTGACTGGCCAAGTGACTCCTGTCTCCTGTACAGTACAGAATGTGTTCAGCTGCCAAATTTAAGTAAATGTTCAATCTGTAGCAGTGTGATTCTGAAGTGCTGTACGGTTGTAAGTTTTCTCCCCGACAAAACCCACAACGTCGACGAAACGTTCTGCACCGACAAAGGCTCCTGCACTCACACCCAAAAGACAGAGAAAGATAAAACCATCACACAAAAAGTTGGACTTCTGGACACGCTGAAGGAAGGTAGAAGTTACGCGCTGTAACAGAGTCTTACACGGCTCAGGTCCCTGCAAATAGTTGCTGAAATCAGGACCGCGACCCCCGCGCAGCAGAGTCCATAATGAGCGATCGGGCGACAGACGCTCTTACCTCCATGAGGTGCGGAGCAGAGCCGCTCCTTTCTCCTGCGTCACCTTCGAGCCCGTCCTGACAGTGAGTCCTGTTTTAGTCCTGGTTCAGCTCTGGTTTAGTCCTGGTTCAGTCCATATACAGCGCAAAAGTTATTTTGGTGAGAGTAACTTAAAGTAATGCAATAGTAATGTAATACCTTACATTTTAAATGCAGTAATATTGTAATGTAACGAATTACTTAGAAATGACAGTAATAGGTAATAAATAACACATTACAGTTTCAAAGTAACTTGCCCAACAGTGCTTGTTTGTGGCTCGGTGTTTTGTCCTTTGGTTGGACCAGTTTCTGTCTTAAAGTGTTTGTAGGTTTGAAATAGACCTGGACCTCATGTTGTCTGAAAATCCTTTGTAGTTTTTCAGAAACACTGGCCATGTAGGGAATAGTTACCCCCTTCTCCTGGGTTTTGATTCTCTATGTGTCTGTTTTGTAGTTCTCTTGGTTTTGTTGAAGGCCCATTTTGGATCTCTGCAAACAGAGACGGCTTTCTGCACCTGTTGTTCTTCTTTCTCCTTTCCCTCTGTGCTTGGAGGCACCACCTGAGCCCTGTGTTGTAGTGTCCGAATAACTCCAAGTTTGTGCTGCAGTGGGTGGTGAGAATCAAAAAGCAGGTACTGGTCTGTGTGTGGGCTTCCTGAAGACCTCAACCTGGAGTCGCCGGTCTTCTCCTGTCGTTACTGCACAATCTAAGAAACCCATTTTGTGTTGCTCTTGGCATCTTCACTGGTGAATTTGATGTTACGATCTACAGCATGAACATGTGCAGTAAATGGTTCCAAATCTTGAATTATGATTTTAGAAAAGTTATCATCCACATAACGATACCAATGTGTGGGTGGAGTTCCTGGATAAGAGGCCAAGGGCCTCTGTTCAAATTGTTCATATATAAGTTAGCAGTGATCGGAGAGACCGGTGAGCCCATCGCACAGCCGTGGATTTGCCTGTAGAAGTTCCCTCTGAACTGGTTCCTATGTTCCCTATGTCCATTTATATATTTACTCATTCATTTGTATTTGTTTGAGCGACATGCCTGTATAAGGTACATCACAAACACAAGGACACGTGTACATACTGTATGTTGGGAACATTTCTGGTGTTCAAAACGAGTAGCCTGAAGTTTAAAAAAACTTATATATACTGTCTATGTACTCAAGACTTGTGTACTTTTCTTCTGTTATGGAGGTCTCTTGCAAATTATATTTTTGTAACTGAAACGTATAGAACAAAGCATATTACCAACTACACTGTACATTAGTATTATTATTTTACAAACCAAATAACAAATACAAAATAATACAAATAATAAATAAATTCGAACAAAACAGTCTAATCTCAACATGTTCAACATGGAGCAATTTTATCGCAGTCAGTCCGGATTTAGTCCTGGTTTAGTCCTGGTTCTGACCTAATTTACTCCTGGTTTAGTCCTGGTTTAGACCTGGTTTACTCCTGGTTTAGACCTGGTTTAGACCTGGTTTACTCCTGGTTTAGACCTGGTTCAGACCTGGTTCAGACCTGGTTTAGTCCTGGTTTTTGGTCTCTGCTTAAATCACAGTTCAAAGTTTCTTACATGGTGTGTAGGAATGTCCTGGACTGTTGTCGCCCTCTTGTGGCCGTCATCTGTGTCTACACCTTCAAAGTTGCAGTACCAGTTTGTACCAGCAGGTGGCGGTGATGTTCCAGAGCGCTCACTCCATGGCCTCGCAGATGTTGCCTTAAGTCAGATGATGATTTCTGGAAATTTCTCATCAAATACAGTTCAAAATTTTACAGTATTTAAAAAAAAAAAAAAAAAAAAAAAAAAAAAAAAATCACACATTTTTTTTCTGCTGCATAAAGGGTTTATTTCCTGACACTTTTTGCTTAACAAATGTGAAATTTCATATTTACAGACGCATTTGGCGAACGCAGAAGCAGCTACAGACCCTAAATCATCAAACTCAAACTCATGGCTTCAGGAAAAAAAAAAAACATTTGAGGAGAGAATCCTTAAACAAGAATTGCATTTAATAAAAAAATCTATCAACTATTTACATATAATTATAAGTATTTATGAGTAAAGCTTTTGGAAAGAAAAACAATACCGCTTTCTTTAAAGAGGAGGTATAAACTATAATACATCACTTATTTAGATCACAATGCTCCATTTATTGTTTTGAAAATGCTGCACTTTGAGGGTCCACTGCGCTTTGCTCTCTGCGCTGAGTCACTCCCCCTTCAGAGCTCCATCACAACACAATCAGCGCCAACAGTTTTGTGTCATGTTTTTGAATATTTATGGAGAATTATCGCGTGGGAGCATAAAGGGGGCGAAGGCTTGTGGGCGGAGCCTCGAACAGCTGACCGCAAGGAGGGTTTAAATACGGCCCGGGAGAGATCGCTAAATTACTCAAACATGCACAGACCTCCTCAGGCGTGTTTTTGATGAAAAGACAAAAAGTCCATCTCGCATCATACCTCCTCTTTAAATAAAACCAAAAAGACAAACGCATTTCCCATTTTTGATCCTTAGACAAAAACGCAAATAAATTACAAATAAAAGCAAAAATACCACACTTAAAAATAATTAATTGAAAACACTGAAATCAATGGTCTGATTTGTATAAAATTATTAAAAAGAACAGAGGATTGTGATTGATTGATTTGGGTTAAGATGCGATGTGAGGTTCAGACAGGAGAGGGCGCTCTTCTCTAAGGCACTGGTCGCTATGAAGCCTACACACACTACTGCACTGCAAAAACGAAATGACTTTAACGAAGATTTAAAACGCTGATTTATAATTTATTTAATGATCTGAATCGCCCACTTCAGGTGAAATTATGAGCCACTGCAGAATCAGTCTTTCCTAAAGCCACTTTTTCGTAAAAACAGACTAAAATAAAGTCATGTTTTCATTGCAGATGTTTTTACTTATAGTCCGAAAAATACAGTACTCTTAATTTGTATATGAAAATGAAATTGTATTAGTAAAAATCACGGTATCGTAATCGGTATCAAGTGAATTTCTTAGTATCGAAATCCAGTATTAAATTTGAGCGTCGTGACACCACTCGTCGCTACAGCTATGGCCTCTCTGAAGTCTGAAAGTTATATTGTTCCTTTGATTTCAAACCATAAAATCATAGTAAAACAAAACTAAAAATTTAAAACAGCAAAAAGTCAATATTTTGAAAGAATAAAAAAAAAAAGAAAAACTGAAAACTGTGGCGTCTGGGTCACATGATCAAACAGCAGCTTCTGATTGGTCCTGGCAGCGTTCCATTGGCACCGTCCCATTGGCTGAGGACAGTTTGGGGGCCTCTGTCGTGGCGTTAAAGCTGCACTGTGTCACTTTCTGGCAGGTGGTCCGCTATCTGCTCGTCTCCATGGCGATGTTGCTGCTCGACTTGTGTATCTTTTTTACTTTATTTACATTTCACGCGTTTCACTGACGGCACGTAAAAAGGCCTCGGGGGTATCAGCATTATCAGCACTTAAAGCCATACTGCGGAACATTCCAGCGTTCTCCACGGAGACGAGCGGGTGCAGCAGAAAAGTTACACAGTGCGTCTTTAACATTCAAAACACTGGGGGTGTGGTCAAAGTGCGCGATCATTTCCGTTGATAAGAGGTTTATGGGTGTGTGGGTGTGGCCTAAAGGGAAGGGGGCGTGGCCTCAGGAGCGGGGTGGGCGTGGCTTCTGTTCACATGGCTGTGACGTAATGGCGGGAAGTGGGCGTGGCCTCTGAAGAGGGATGGGTGTGGCTTCTGGGCGTCAGGATCTAGATAGGCATGGCTTTGGTTGAAATGGGCGTGGCCTCGGGAGCTGGATGGGCGTGGCCTCGGGAGCTGGATGGGCGTGGCCTCGGGACCTGGATGGGCGTGGCCTCGGGAGCTGGATGGGCGTGGCTTCTGTTCACATGAGTGTGGCCTCAGGAGCTGGTTGGGCGCGGCTTCAGTTGAAATGGGCGTGGCCTCAGGAGCTGGGTGGGCGTGGCCTCAGGAGCCGAGCGCCTGGACGTAGTTGGCGGGGTACAGGCCGATTTGTCCGTCGCTCAGTTGACCCTTGCACCAGCCCTGCTCGTCTTCCTCGCTCAGCTTCAGTAGCTGCTCTCCTGTAAAAACGGCACATGTAACATTATGCAGCAGGAGGTCAGCGCTCGCCCGCTAACCAGAGGGTCACCGGGTAGAAACAGTCGTGTCTGAATGGTACGTCTGCTCAGGGGGAAGTTTGATTTCTGCTAGAACCAACTACATGCTACGTACACGGCCTAGTGTGAACGTCAGTGCTGCTGGTGGTGGAACCTTACTTTGGCCGTCACACACAGTCTTCCTATGACCGCTTGTAAATAAATATTTCTATATAATGTATCTATAATATATCTATTTTATTGTGACTTGTACATTTATATAATTATGTCTTATTCAAGGTTCCCACTCTTTTTACTGACAACATTCTCAAAACCCTATGACTTTATAGCACCTGCATGTGTAGAACTGATCAGACTTTTAGAGCTAAATATGAAATGTTAACTCTTTCCATTAGGCTGCATCATTTGCCCCAATGTCAGAAATTCAACTTGTACCCAATTTTAAAATGTGACAATACAAATTAAAAGAAAATCTGTGGAATATTTGCTCAATTGAAGAATATCCATTGGGTCCACCAAGACTCTTAAGTTCCATCCTAAACGGTGTCCATAAGACTCTGGCAGAAAAATCACGTTTTTTTTTTGTTTTTATTTATATATATATATATATATATATATTATATATATAGTATTTATTATTTATTATTTTTATTATTATTTATTTATTTTTTTTATATTAATTTTTATTATTATTATATTAATTTTTATTTTTATTTTTTTTATAATAAGGCCCTTGAAGTCCCAAAGAAATGACACTTTTGCCATATCTCGGAAACTAATGATGATCGAGACATAAAACTGATACCAAATGTTACACAATGTCCATATTTATATCCAACTTCCATTGATCCTATTGAGCTACATTAATTATTTTTGAGGTTATTAAAGAAAAAAATATTAAGGCTTCTGCAGCACTAAACTTCAGAGGCTTGGTGGACCCAGTAGACTTCAACAGAATTTCATGAAATTTCTCATGGAATTTTACTTTGTTAAGTGTAAAAAAAATATATACTAGGTACAGATTGATTTTCAAAGATTTTTCTAAAAGTTGGACAAATGATGCTCCCTAATTTCCACTCACCTTATGGTTTGGGTTTGTAGTTTTTAACATTCAAAATCCTGTCAGTGCATTTATTGTCGTCTCTTTTAAACAAAAGGTGCAGACGTTCAGAAATAATCTGAATAGTCTAATGAAAACTGAACAGAAAGCTGGAGCGGCGTGAAAGAGATACAAAATTTCCATGACTTTTCCAGGATTTCCATGACCGTTGGAACCCTGTTTATTTCACACGTGTCTCTTGTTATTTTTATTTTTTTTTATTATTATTTATTTAACATGTATTATTATGTATATTTTTTTACTCTTTGTTATTATGATATTGTTTTTTTATTCTTATTATTTTGCTATGATCATAAACAATAAACTTTTGTGCTTCTTTATCATTATTATTAATTTGTATGACCATAATACAGCACAATACAAAAAAAAAGAAATAAACGGGGCTAAAATAATATTTACTTTGCATAGTATGTCTTTTATATTGCTATATGTGAATATTTGTGAAATTTCATCATCAATGTACAGAAGCAACAAGCCACATCATTTTTTTATTTTTGAAACTATAATGAACAGGGGCGAGATAATATAAGTTTTTCTTCTTCTTCCTGCTCCTTTTTCGAGAAATGTGCTTTTTTGTTTATAATGTATATGCAGTATGAAATAAAAAAAATAAAACTCAAAATAAAAATGAATGAATCAATGTTGTGACGTGTGAGAGGATGTGTCCAAATAATTTCTCTTAAGTCTAAGTCACGAAAGGCAAAATATAAATCTAATATTTCACTGTTATTAATATTAAAAGACACAGGACGAAGTGACCAAAGCTGAAATCAAACCACAAACCTTTCCGTTACAGGACGCCTGCTCAACCCGCAAAGATTGTGAGAACATTTTGTGTTTGTGTAAGAAAAAATCCTCCAAAGAAACACGTTCTTTGTTGTTTTAGAAGTTTTTTAAACCGTTAATAGTTTAGTTTTCAAAAATCAACAAAAGGAAACAGCATGAGTCCAAGTGCACTTTTACAACATACTTCAAACAGACGAGAGAGAAAACTTTTATACTTTAATACTTTTATAGAGTCTGGAACATTCTGAAAAGCATAACCTGTCGACATCAGCGGTGAGCGCAGCGTTAGTGTGTTATGTGGTTAATACCTGCTTTAAAGCTGAGCTCGTCTGCCTCCTGCCCTGTGTAATCATACAGCGCCTTCACGTGCACGCCCGCTACCTGCTCGTGCACGCCGTTCACCGCCAGCGCCTTCTTCGGGCTCTCGTCATCCGACCAATCAGACGAGTCCTCTCTGACCCTGAAACAGGAAGTGAACAGTCAGGTCATCAGCTGTTTGTTTGATTTAAAGCTGCAGTGTGTAACAGGACGCGTCATGTGGCCCAATGTCAGAAATTCAACTTGTACCAATTTTAAAATGTGATAAAACCAGTTAAAAAGATAAAAGAAAATCTGTGGAATATTTGCTCAGTTGAATAAAATCTACTGGGTCCACCAAGATTCAAGTTCCATTCTAACAGTGTCCAGAAGGCTGTTTTTCACAAATAAATGTATAAATAATCCATTTAGGGCCATGAAAGTTCAATATAAATGTTGCTGTTGTGCATCTTTATCACTGCAGATCTTTTATTTTACCTGTGGCTCTGTATAAAAGACTATAGTGTGTTGCATTTATGAAATCAATGAAAACTGAACACGGAATTTTATTTCAGCATGAAACAAAAACATTTTGAACTCCGAAAAAAGACACTTGGTTGACACTTAGTTCAAATGAAAATGTCTCAATTAGGGACGGGCATGATTAGTCGATTAATCGATAATTGATCATTAAGAATTTCATCGATTACGTTCATTTTTAATTGACAAACCCGATGTAAGTTGCTGTGTGTAGGGAGACCAAACGTCCATGTCCGGAGACAAACAGTAGGTGTGTACATGTGTCTCTGCATCAGAAGGAGCGAGACACAAACAGTGGGTCAGTCTGTAACGAACCGAAGCACAAATGTGGATTTAACAATGACTTGTCCTGACCGGAACGGAAAGCGTGGAATTTCTTATACAAGTGTGAGTCCATGTGCACAGTGTATAAAGCAGCACAGATGTGTCAGTGTCCAGTGGGAAAAAGTTTTTCCAGGTGAAAGTCGCTCAATGTCGATGACGAGGCCCCGCCCCCTCCCCCGTACAGTGTCCTGGTTTTGATAAATGCAAATCTGGTCAATACTAGGGACGGGCATTTGATGAAATTTTCTTAATCGATCGTCGGAAAAATTAACGCTCGATTAATCTTTAACATTTTTATATTAAAATGATCATCATTATTATTACTATCTGCACTAATCTGCATAAATAAATTCAACTTTACAACATATAAACATAACGACTCTAGATCCACATCAGCTGTTTGACATTATAATGTGTTTAATTCAGTTTTGTTCAAATCTCACAGAAACAAAACTTAAAACCACATCACTAATTTACATAAACTAAGTGAAGATAAAACTCCAGCTCTTGTGTCGCTGATGTGGTTCAACTTGTGTTGGATTAAAAGACATGACTCAGGTGAATACAGGTCAGTGTGACCAGATTTGTGTTTGTCAAAACCAGGACAGCGTACGGGGGGAGGGGGGCGGGGCCTCGTCATCCACATTGAGCGACTCTCACCTGGAAAAACTTTTTCCCACTGGACACAGAAACATATGTGCTGCTTTATCCACTGTGCACATGGACTCACACTCAAAGTGTGGAATTTCTTGTACAAATCATCGTTAAATCCACATTTGTGCTTCGGTTCGTTACAGACTGACCCACTGTTTGTGTCTCGCTCCTTCTGATGCAGAGACACATGTACACACCTGTTTGCTCACGACACACACAGCAACCTACATTCAGTTTGTCGATTAAAATTGAACATAATCGATGAAATTCTTAATGATCAATTATCGATTAATCGATTAATCATGCCCATCCTTAGTCAATACTAATACTAATACATTCCACTGAGTCGTGTCCTTTAATCCGACAGAAGTTGAACCGCATCAGCAACACAAGCTGTTTTTTTTTCCTTCACTTAGTTTATGCAAATTAGCGATGTGTTTTAAGTTTTGTTTCTGTGAGATTTGCATAAATCTGAATTAAACACATTATAATATATATATATCTGCAACGTACCGAAGCACAAATGTGGATTTAACGATGATTTGTACAAGAAATTCCACACTTTCCGTTGCGTTCGGGACAAGCGTGAGCAGCAGGAACATGTGATTTCAGTTTATACATTGCAAAGTTTAATCTGCTTTTTCAATAAAAAGTTAATTTGGAAAAAAAAATAAAAATACAGATTAAATTTATGAATGATGAATTTAATTTGCCTTTTTACATAAAGATACCAAAAAATATCAACTCTTCACCTGACTCCCTCACTCTTCTTTCTGCTGGTGTCCCATAGAAATTCTCATAATCAAAGTTAAAGTCTGCTCTGTCCCTGTAGTACTTTTTTTTTTTTTTTATTATTGTGTCTGTACAGCTCACTGAAACCAGACTAAACACGCGCGGCCCTGACCTCGCACTTGGACGCCGTTTCGTCTGCTCGCTGTGGTTAACGTGTGAGATTTGACTCTTAATCTAATGTGGGCAGAAAGACGGACACTTAAAATATCATTTACAATTCCAGCGGGTTTTGTTTTGCCCAAGGTTAGTGTGTTTCCCTGGAGGTACGCGGGGCCGGGGCCGGGGGTCCGTCACCTGCTTGTTTCTACGGATATGTCATTGAAATGTTCCACAGTGTGACATTAAACAGCTCAACTTTACATTTATTCAATTACAGGCATTTTTTTTTTTTTATAGCTCAAAAATTTCTAGAAAAACAAACATTCTGACTGTGAGCGGCCTCTTCACTAGAAAAGTTACAGAATACAGCTTTAAAGACCAGTCTATTCATGTTTTTGTGTTTTGGGTTAATAAATATTTAAGTAAATACTTTAGACCGAGTCAAGTCTGATTTTAGACCTGGTTTAGTCGACTTATGGACAAGGTTGAGTCATAATTTAGGTCTTTTATCGGTCATGTTTGTTACCTGGTGGGCTTTTAGGGGCGGGGCTTGTTACCTGGTGGCTTTTAGGGGCGGGGCTTGTTACCTGGTGGGCGTTTAGGGCGGGGGCTTGTTATTCGGTGGGCGTTTATTGGCGGGGCTTGTTACCTGGTGGGTGTTTAGGGCGGGCCTGTTACCCGGGAGGTGTGTCAGGGGCGGGGTCTCTTACCTGGGGAAGGGGGGGCGTGTCGGGGGCGGGGCCTGTTACCTGGTGGGCGTTCATGAGCGGGGCCTGTTACCCGGGAGGTGTGTCAGGGCGGGGTCTGTTACCTGGGGGAAGGGGGGCGTGTCGGGGGCGGGGCCTGTTACCTGGGGGGCGTGTCGGGGGTGGGGCTCGGCGGGGCGTCTCCAGACGACACGATGTTGGTCAGTGTGACCACGTTGTCCTCAGAGCCTCCTCCTACTCGCTCCTTTCGGCTGATGGACCGACTCAGGTCTGGACTCCACTCCTGAAAAGACAGAACTAATCCAGTACTCGTGTAGACCTGAACCAGGACTGAACCAGGACTGAACCAGGACTGAACCAGGACTGAACCAGGACTGAACCAGGACTGAACCGGGACTGAACCGGGACTGAAACGGGACTAACTGACCTAGGACTGAAAAGACACAAGTCACAGTCGGACATTTCCAGTATTCACACGCATGTATTGGCTTTAGAATAGTTTTAACAGACAAATGAAGCAGGTTGAAATACTAATAATTTTACGTGGCAAATTGAACTCTATTTTTTTTATACAACCAGAACCTTGCGTGTCCCTGATTGGCTGATCCTCCTGTCACTCAAGCCCGTCTGAACTCATCTTAAAGTACTGAAGTGTTTATTTTGGATCCCAGGCAACAGGAGCTTAGCCAAATGAACCTCGAAACCCTTTCTTCCAAGTTTGATATTCAATACTTGATTATTAGATACAAACACGCACAAGAATCAGTTTTGCGTTTACAATCTTACCAGAGGGGATCATACATTTACTCATTAACAAAAAAAAATAAAAAACACTGGAAGCCCCGCCTTTAAGTTATAAAATCAAGAGCTTTAAAACGTCTGATTTTAAGTTATTTTAAATCTAAGTACAGTGTTTTTAAATGATCGGGACAGGCTCTTCATTTAGGCCCCGGTTTAGTCCTGGGTCAGTCCTGGTTTGGCCCTGGTTTAGTCTTACTTTAGTCCTGGTTTAGTCCCGGTTTAGTCCCGGTTTAGTCCCTGGTTTGGCCCCTGGTTTAGTCTGGTTTAGTCCTTGGTTTAGTCCTGGTTTCCCCTGGTTTTCCTGGTTTAGTCCTGGTTTAGTCCTTTGGTTTAGTCCTTGGTTCAGTCCTTGGTTCAGTCTTGGTTTAGTCCCAAGTTTAGTCTTGGTTCAGTCCTGGTTTAGACCTGATTTAGTCCTAGTTACCTCCTGGTTTAGTCCTGGTTTTCCCTGGTTTAGTCCCTGGTTTAATCCTTGGTTTAGTCCTGGTTTAGTCCTTGGTTTAGTCCCTGGTTTAGTCCCTGGTTTAGTCCCTGGTTTGGCCCCTGGTTTAGTCCCTGGTTTAGTCCTTGGTTCAGTCTTGGTTTAGTCCCAAGTTTAGTCTTGGTTCAGTCCTGGTTTAAACCTGATTTAGTCCTAGTTACCTCCTGGTTTAGTCCTGGTTTTGGTTCCTTTTTGGTTCTGCATTATTGGTTTACACACACGTTCATATGAGGCAAAATGGCAGAAGTGTCTTGCCTGAAGACACCATGTCACTTTCCACTAGAGCCACCCACCCCCTTTACTCAAGTACAAGTACTCAAGTCAAAAGTACAAGTCAAAAGTACTCTGTGATAAAACTACTAATATAAGCACATTTTTATTTAGAGTTCTTGTGTTTGTTTGTAAAAGGAGCCGCCCCAGTGTCCAGGAATCTGCCCCACGACTCAACAAGAGCCTTTTGTTAAACCAGGACTAAACCAGGACTGAACCAGGACTAACCAGACTGAACCAGGACTAACCAGGACTAAACCAGGACTAAACAGGACTGAACCAGGACTAAACCAGGACTAAACCAGGACTAAACCAGGACTAAACCAGGACTAAACCAGGACTAAACCAGGACTGAACCGGGTTCTAAACCAGGACTAAACCGGGTCTAAACCAGGTCTAAACCAGGAACTAAACCAGACTAAACCAGGACTAAACCAGGACTGAACCAGGACTAAACCAGGACTAAACCAGGACTGAACCAGGACTAAACCAGGACTAAACCAGGACTGAAACCAGGACTAAACCAGGACTAAACCAGGACTGAACCAGGACTAAACCAGGACTAAACCAGGACTGAACCGGGTCTAAACCAGGACTAAACCGGGTCTAAACCAGGTCTAAACCAGGACTAAACCAGGACTAAACCAGGTCTAAATCCAGGACTGAACCAGGACTAAACCAGGACTAAACCAGGACTGAACCAGGTCTAAACCAGGACTAAACCAGGTCTAAACCAGGTCTAAACCAAACCAGGACTAAAACCAGGGAACTAAACCAGGACTAAACCAGGACTAAACCAGGTCTAAACCAGGACTAAACCAGGTCTAAACCAGGACTAAACCAGGTCTAAACCAGGTCTAAAACCAGGACTAAACCAGGACTAAACCAGGACTAAACCAGGACTAAACCAGGTCTAAACCAGGTCTAAACCAGGACTAAACCAGGTCTAAACCAGGTCTAAACCAGGTCTAAACCAGGTCTAAACCAGGACTAAACCAGGACTAAACCAGGTCTAAACCAGGACTAAACCAGGACTAAACCAGGACTAAACCAGGTCTAAACCAGGTCTAAACCAGGACTAAACCAGGACTAAACCAGGTCTAAACCAGGTCTAAACCAGGTCTAAACCAGGACTAAACCAGGTCTAAACCAGGTCTAAACCAGGTCTAAACCAGGTCTAAACCAGGTCTAAACCAGGTCTAAACCAGGTCTAAACCAGTCTTGGCAGTTCTTGAGTGTAGAGTTTCCTTCCTCCTCCTGAGCTCTTGGGGAGAGATTTGTTTCCTGATATTTCTTGTTTGTTCGGAGCTTCGTTCTTTGTTTCAGAATAATACAGATTTAATCAGAGCTTTTATTTTGAAGGAGCAGAAACAGGACGGTCCGGGTCTGGGACAAAAGTCTGAAATTTAACACTTCAAAACTATTTCAGCTTTTGTCCAAGCGCCACAAACACGCCTCGTCATCTTCCCTAATCCGAGTTATTTAATATTGAGTTTGCTCCAGTTTGACCAGGATCTTGTCTCAGTCCCGGTCCAGTCCCGGTCCAGTCCCGGTCCAGTCCCGGTCCAGTCCCGGTCCAGTCCAGTAGTTGTGGGTTGAGTGGGAGAGGAATGCAGCTGGACAGACTTTCCACATTAATATTTACGTTTTTACACAGAGACACTGTATAGAGCAAGAACTGAACCAGGACTAAACCAGGACTAAACCAGGACTGAACCAGGACTGAACCAGGACTGAACCAGGACTAAACCAGAACTAAACTAGGACTAAACCAGGACTAAACCAGGACTGAACCAGGACTAAACCAGGACTAAACCAGGACTAAACCAGGACTGAACCAGGACTTGAACCAGGACTGAACCAGGACTAAACCAGACTGACTAAACCAGGACTAAACCAGGACTAAACCAGGAAAACCAACTGAACCAGGACTGAACCAGGACTAAACCAGGACTAAACCAGGACTGAACCAGGACTAAAACCAGGACTAAACCAGGACTGAACCAGGAACTGAACTAAACCAGGGACTAAACCAGGACTGAACCAGGACTAAACCAGGACTGAACCAGGACTAAACCAGGACTAAACCAGGACTGAAACCAGGACTGAACCAGGACTAAACCAGAACTAAACCAGAACTAAACCAGAACTAAAGTAGGACTTGATCAGGACTGGATCAGGACTGAACCAGGACTGAACCAGGGCTTGACCAGGACTTGACCAGGACTTGACCACGACTAAACCACGACTAAACCACGACTAAACCCAGGACTGAACCAAAACAGAACCAGGACTAAAACAGGATTAAATTAGGACTAAACCAGGACTGAACCAGGACTAAATTAGGACTGAACCAGGACTAAACCAGGACTAAATTAGGTCTAAACCAGGTCTAAACCAACTAAACCAGGACTAAACCAGGACTAAACCAGGACTAAACTAAACCAGGACTAAACCAGGACTGGTCCGGTTTTCCCACACATTTATATATTTTAAAGTTCCTGTTTTGCGTCTGACCTCAAACTGGGGCCAGTTCATGGAGGTTCCTGGTCCGTGCGTGTTCCTCCACCAGCGCAGGTCCTCACAGTCACTCACGGCTCGGATGGTCTGACCCAGGTCCCTGTACAGAGCCGAGAACCTGACCGGACACACCAGAACGGAATTAAACCACAACAACGGAACAGAAAGTGACAGAATTTCATGTTTTTAATCATTCTTCTTTCCTGTGGTGGGATAAAAAAAAAATATTATCAACAGTTTGTTTAGAAACGTAAAAGATCCTGAACCCAGTGAATTGTTTAAGTCGACTGTGTGTTGTTTGAATCCAATTATAAAGAGTTTTACTGTCAGAGAATCAGGAAGTGTGTATTGGCATGCTAGTAGTTGTTAAATTTAACGCTAGGGGAGACTGGCGAGTCAAGTGTGGGTCTGTCTGCGCAGGTGAGTCCAGTCGGTCTGTCTGCGCAGGTGAAGTCTGGGTCTGTCTAGGTGAGTCCGGTCTGTCTGCGCAGTTGTCCCGTCAGGTCTGTCTGCGCAGGTGTCGGGTCTGTCTGCGCAGGTGAGTCCGGGTCTGTCTGCGCAGGTGAGTCTGGGTCTGGGTCTGTCTGCGCAGGTGAGTCTTTTTCTGGGTCTGTCTGCGCAGGTGAGTCCAGGTCTGTCTGCGCAGGTGTGTCCGGGTCTGTCTGCCAGCGAGTCCGGGTCTGTCTGCGCAGGCGAGTCCAAGTCTGGGTCTGTCTGCGCAGGCGAGTCCTGGTCTGTCTGCGCAGGCAGGTCTGGGTTTGGGTCTGTCTGCGCAGGTGAGTCCAGGTCTGGGTCTGTCTGCGCAGGTGAGTCCGGGTCTGGGTTCTGCTGCAGTGAGTCCGGGTCTGGGTCTGTCTGCGCAGGTGAGTCCGGGTCTGGGGTCTGTCTGCAGGCAGGTCTGGGGGTCTGGGTCTGGGTCTGTCTGCGCAGGTGAGTCTGGGTCTGTGTCTGTCTCGCAGGTGAGTCTGGGTCTGGGTCTGTCTGCGCAGGTGAGTCCGGGTCTGTCTGCGCAGGTGAGTCCGGGTCTGTCTGCGCAGGTGAGTCCGGGTCTGGGTCTGTCTGCGCAGGTGGGTCTCTGTCTGCGCAGGTGTGTCTGGGTCTGGGTCTGTCTGCGCAGGTGAGTCCGGGTCTGGGTCTGTCTGCGCAGGTGAGTCCTGGTCTGTCTGCGCAGGTGAGTCTGGGTCTGCGCAGGTGAGTCGGTCTGGGTCTGTCTGCGCAGGTGAGTCTGGTCTGTCTGCGCAAATAAATGTTTAAAAAATGTTGTTCTTTGTGCTTAAAACTGTCCTTGTATTTTGGATTTGTGCGTTTTCGGTTTTAAAACTCTTGTTACTTTCATCTTTTCTTCACACATTTCAACTCAGAGCTCAAAGACTCTTCCACCCTGTGAGGTCATGAGGTGGCAAAGCTTCTCTTCTCTAAAGTTCATCTGTGTTTGAGCGGCGCATTCCTCTTCTGTTTACTCACGATTCAGACTTACGACATTTAACATCAAACACAAACTCAAACTCACTGACCCGAGACTCTGAGACTAAACCAGGACTGAACCAGGACTAAACCAGGACTAAACCAGGACTAAACCAGGACTGAACCAGAACCAGGACTAACCAGGACTAAACCAGGACTGAACCAGGACTGAACCAGGACTAAACCAGGATAAAACCAGGACTAAACCAGGACTGAACCAGGACTGCTAAACCAGGACTAAACCAGGACTGAACCAGGACTAACCAGGACTAAAACCAAGACTAAACCAGGACTAAACAGGACTAAACCAGGACTGAACCAGGACTAAACCCAGGACTAAAACAAGACTAAACCAGGACTAAACCAACTGAACTGAACCAGGACTAAACAGGTCTAAGAACCAGGACTAAACCAGGACTAACCAGGACTAAACCAGGGCTAAACCAGGACTGACCAGGACTGAAACCAGGGACTAAACCAGGACTAACCAGGACTAAACCAGGTAAACAGGCTGAACAGGACTGAACCAGGACTAAACCAAAACTGAACCAGGACTGAACCGACAAGACTGAACCAGGGCTAAACCAGGACTAGACCAGGACTAAACCAGGTCTGAATCAGGACTAAAACCAGGACTAACCAGGACTAAACTAGGTCTAATCCAGGACTAAACCAGGACTGAACCAGGACTGAACCAGGTCTAAACCAAAACCAAACCAGAACTAAAATAAAAACTAAACCAGGACTGAACTAGACCAGATCCAGTTTCAGAGTCTGGTGTTTGTCCTTGGTTTGTATCAGGAGGAGGTTTAGTATTAACCCTACACACACACACACACACACACACACAGCACACACAGACACACACAGACACACACACACACACACACATTACACACACACACACACACAGACACACACACACAGACACACAGACACACAGACACACACACACACACACACACACACACAGACACACACACACAGACACACACACACACACACAGACACACACACAGACAGACACACACACACAGACACACACACAGACACACACACACAGACACACACACACACAGACACACACACACACACAGACACACACACAGACACACACACACACACACACAGACACACAGACACACACACACACACACAACAACACACACACACACACACACAGCAACACACACACACACACACAGACACACACACACACACAGGACACACACACACACACAGACACACAGACACACACACAGACACACACACAGACACACAGACACACAGACACACACACACACACACACACACACACAGACACACACAGACACACACACACAGACACACCACACACACACACACACACAGACACACACAGACACACACACACACACACACAGACACACACACACACACACACACAGACACACACACACACACCAAACCAGGACTGAGCCAAGACTAAATCAGGAAAACACAAACACACCACAATTATCCACACTCAAGAACCAGAGTCTCCAGAACTATCAGGTCTAGACCAGGACTAAACTGGGAATAAAACCAGGACTAACCCAGAACTAAACCAGAACAAAACCAGACTAAACCAGGACTAAACCAGGACTAAACCAGGACTAAACCAGGACTAAGCTCCCTTCACCACATGTGTGAATGAAACAAAACATCACTCTGGACACGTTTGTGATGAGGAAACAACAGCAGCAGATGATAAAATAGTGTAACCTGGACCCTTTAACCTTCTTGAATCTTCTGCTGGTGCTTACCCGTCCTTGGTGCTGAGGTCCAGATGTTCGTGGATCTCCAGCAGGACCTCTTTGAAGAACCTGAGCCTGGTCCTCTCGTTCTCCTGCGTCTGCTCGAACACGGTCTCCATGTCCTCCATGTACCTCGGGTTACAGCGGTTTAACTCCTCCAGGGCTTTGGTGTAGCGCTCCTTCGCCTGGGACAAACCAAAGGGTCCATTAAACCTTTTTTAAAATCTTCATGGAGACCGAACAAGACCAAGTGACAGGTCAGATCTGCGGAGAGGCGACCCCGCTCAGTCAGAATGTCTTTTTCTAGGTATTTTAACAACAATATCTACGGTAATTTTAGGGCAAACCAGGTAAATTAGTCCTGATTTAGTCCCGGTTTAGTCCCGGGTTTAGTCCCTCTGTCCATTTCTCGGTCCAGTTTAATCCACTGTTGAATTCGTTGTTGAGTCCTTGGTTTAGTCCTATTTTAGACCTGATCCAGTCCTTGGTTTAGTCCTGATTTAGACCTGATTCAGTCCTTGATTTAGTCCTGGTTTAGGCCTTGATTTAGTCCTGATTCAGTCCTTGGTTTAGGCCTTGATTTAGGCCTTGATTTAGGCCTGATTCAGTCCTGGGTTTAGTCCTGGGTTTAGTCCCTCTGTCCAGTCCTGGTTTTAATCCATTGTTGAATTCGTTGTTGAGTCCTTGGTTTAGTCCTATTTTAGACCTGATCCAGTCCTTGGTTTAGTCCTGATTTAGGCCTTGATTTAGTCCTGATTCAGTCCTTGATTTAGTCTTGGGTTTAGTCCTAATTTAATCTTAATTTAGTCCTGGTTTAGTCCTTGACCTATTCCTAGATTTAGTCCTAGATTTAGTTCTACTTTAGTCCTTGGTTTAGTCCTTGGTTTAGTCCTGGTTTAACCCTGGTTCAGTCCTGGTTTAAACCTTGATTCAGTCCCGCTTTAGTCCTGTAGTTGTAAGTCAGTTTTTTGAGTCCGGGGCAGGTCTGGTCTTGTTTGTTTTTTTCAGAGTTTCTCAGAGTCGGAGGAACAGGCCACAGCAGAGTCCTGCCCGTGTACGACCTGAACATTTCAAATCTGTTCAAAAGAAAATTACCTCAAATAAAACTTTACGAGTTTTTAAACCTGTTTCAACAACGTCTCCTCGTGTTGAATTTACTCAGAATCATTTTAAACTTTACTTCACTTTAAATGATTCGTCTTGTTTTGAGTCTTGAGTCAGAAAAAGTCATGCAACCTGAAACTTTAAGAAAAATGCAGTTTCAACACAAAGTTTTAAAATGAACTTGTTTGCAAACAGGAATAAGTCATTTTTTCTTGGAAAATCCTGCACTCGGCTCCACTTTTCTCATGTTGGACATTTTTCTGATGAGGGTGTCACGGTCAACAGTCAAAACGATCGTCCTTTAAGAGCGTTTGGAAAGAGACAAGTCTTCATTTGTGCTGCTCTGGTGGGAGGGGCCACGTACAGAGACGCTGGAGACGCTGCTATGCTAAGCGCTGCAGAAAATTACCAATATTTTAATAGAAAATATAATTAAAATATTTTAGTAGAAAATCACCCAAGGGCCACATTAAAGGTCTTGGAGGGCCGGATCTGGCCCCCGGGCCTTATGTTTGACACCTGTGAGATAGAGGGTTAGAACAAAACTGAGGACCTGAGAGAGAACAGGGAATGTAAGAAGGTTAGAGCAGAAATGAGGACCTGAAAGAACGGGGAGAGACAGAAAGTTGGAGCTGTTTTGAGAACCTGAGAGAGAACAGGGAGAGAC